ACTGTGTTAGTCTGCCTTGTTTACCACGTTTGGGCATGAGTCATCAGAATGGAATGCAGGGCATCAACCAATAGGCATGCAGCTTTCATCTATACTTCTTGCTGATTGGCTGTTGGGATTTAACTTGATTAACACCTGCACAGAAGCATGTCCATACTGACAGTATGTCTGTATTCAAGTGTTTTGGTAGGTATTTCAAGCTTTCCTGCTCCAGCATTGGAATGCCGGGCATGGACGTTTTTTTTTATTTTGAAAATCAACAGTTTGCAGTATGCAATTAAAAATCCTAACCAATAAAGTAGGGAATAGCTATCCAACTGTTGTTTTAGTTGTATTTTACTTCATATTATAGTTATATCAATGTAAATCATTGTTTTCCCTTGTGTTTCCCATTATTTCCCTGCCATGTCGTAAAATGTGGTGAACCCATCGCTGTATTTGCTCCAAAGCAAATATTGGCCTTTCTAGTTCTCATGCAGTATCTTTTCTAGCAATTTTCCTGTTTTATACTTTATTCTAGATACTTCTGGGAAGAATAAGAAGAAATGCAATCAGTGTTAAGAGACAAACTAGTGTCCTGTAGTCTTCTCTAGAACAGTTGAAAGTTCATTCTTAAAATGCTATATGCTGTTCTTTACATCTGAAAGTTTTGCAAACAACAGCTGCTAACTATCGGGAGGTTGAAAGAGGTTTTTGAGTGGTGTGGAATGTGTTGTTATGTTGTCATGGCAACAGTCTAATTAGTTTGTCCCACAACTATATTCCTGACTTTTGAGCCTGGACTTTTACTTGCCCTCGAACACTACCGGTACCATATGTCACCATACAGCCCAACTCTCATATTGGATAGTGACATCATCAAGGAAACACCTTCAGATCAAATTGAGAGAATTGGCATCTGATCAAGTCCAGCCCTGACTGAATGTTTGTGGGGAGGGTATGGGTGAGTCAGCCCAAAACCTAACTGATAATCAGAAAATCTTTGTCTGAAACTTTCTTCATCTTATAGAGGATTAAATGTTTCTATATGTATGTATGTGTATATGTGAGTGAGTGAGTAAGTGAGTGTGTGTGTGTGTTGAAGAAGCATAGAAAGTCCTTCATCTGTGCACTGCATGCAAT